AACTGTTACTGTCTTGAGACCTGTCAGTTTGACTATTATCATCATCTTTCCATACATGATTGGCTTTGTTTTGTTGAGTTCATATAGGCTAGGTTCATGTCATAACTGCTATCTAGTTTAGGTAGTTGGATTTATGAGTTTTGGTTGTTGTTTTGACATTAGCTGTTGAAACCTTGAAATGAGAGGTCATTGATCATTTTTGACTTACTTTGCATCATGAACTGTTTACTTGAATGTGCATCTGTTTGACTTAGCTTTGTAATGTAATGATGCATTATGTTCTAATCCTAAGTGATATGTGACTGTTTGTATCAGTTTGAATCTCATGTGTGTGTTGAGCAGTTTGTGAATTGGACATTGTCATGAGTTGAAGCCTCATTGCTGAGCTATTTTGAATGTGAAACTGTTTTCAATTGGTGTCTACTCTTTTTAAGGTTCTAACTGTCCTTGTTATAATATAAGGACTTGGTGTTTATTTCATGGATTGGAAAAGACCAAATCTCTCACTGTCATTTGTAGAGGAATCTGCAGCTGTTAGGGTTGCATCTAGTTTTTGAGTGAGTCTGTCCACCCTTTGTGTTTGCATTGGTCTGCTGTCAGGAGGCTGTAACCATCATTTGAAGCATGTAGTGAATAGGCTTTTGATTGGATTAACTCTGTGATAACCAAGTTTGTTGCTATTTCTGTTTAAAAAGAAGACTGTGCTGATTTTGATTTTGTTGTGAAAAATGCTTTTTCATCATGATAAACCTGTTGGTTGTTTAGATCAGTTTTGAATTGGTTGATTATTTGTTGATCCATGACAGAAACTGAACCCTTTTTGAATTGCTGTCATGAGCTTTGGATGGTTTGTTTATTATAGGTCACTTTGTTTTACTTTGTTTCTGCTGCTGCAAACAGTTTTGGAGGCACCATTGCAGCCTTACATAATTTTGAATCTTTTGCTGACAGTGTGATTTTTCAAGTCCCTAGATGTTTGATTCATGTTCTGTTTAACTCGTGGTATTGGATTTGTATTGTTTGAATTTGTGCTGGTCCTGCTACCATTCTGTTTTGGCTATTTTCAACTCATGAACAACTTTGCAATTCAACAGCCATTTTGAGATTTAGTGAGGATTTGAGCTCAATTCTTTGAGAATAATCATAAGTAGGATATTTGAAATTTGTGCAGGCTAATCTCTTGTTCATATTGCATCTGTTTCAACTGTTGAACTTCAAATTGCATTTCAAAACTCACCTTTGTATGTACCATCGAATTTTACTTTGTGTGTGTTGTTTTGAAATTTGATTTGCACCTTTGTAATCCTTGTGGAATTTCAAACAAGATAGGCTTTTATTTTATTAAATTTGATTAAGAATTGAGGGAGTTTGGATTGAAATCGTATCTTGAGTCTTGCCTTGAACTTGCCCAACCATGATTACTTTGTTTTACTTACACCCATACTGGGCCGGATTGTTAATTACTTTGTTTTACACCCATACTGGGCTGGATTGTTAATTATTTTGGGCCCAATTAACTGTTTTATTTCATTTTTTAAATATAAACCACAAGATATGACTATGACCTCCACACTAAACATAATAATTTCTATTTAGAAAAATAAATCTTCCAAAAAAGGGTTTTTTATTTACTTATTAAATATCATTATTAGCTCAACAAATTTTCAGATGCAATCAAAGCTCAACAAATTTTTCAAACCTTCCTCCGATTCCACACCTCTTCCCGCCACCGGCGACGGCGACGATGATTTGGCCAACTGGAACTGGGAGAACAACCAACACCCTATTATCAACACTTACACCCGAACTCGTCGGAACCCTAATCCAATTCCTTCACCTGCATTCGTAATCGAAAAACCAACAGTAGTCAAGAACAAGAAGAGAAGCTACGGTCAGTTCCATCTGGAGTTAGGTCAATCCGATTTCCTATTACGCGCGTGTTCCACTTGTCGTATTCAGTTCACTCCCGGAGATGTTGAAGACGAGAAATTACACGCTCAATTTCACAAACGCTATACGCAAGGAATCCAATTTAGGGTAACTAAATTGAAATTCCCCTTTTCTGATCTCTATTATTTGATTCCTATAACCAATTTTCCCTATTCCTATTGTTGATTATTTTTATTCTGTTTTTATTTAGGGTTGGAATCATGAAAGGATCATTTCTTCTGATAAAATTGGTCGAGTTATTTTGGTGTTGGATAATGATCCATCTTCTCACAGAAACAAGGTTATTTATTTATTTACTGCCTTTAAGTTTTAATCCTTTTTTTATGATTTGTTGGGTTTTGAAATGTTGAACAGGTTTTTGTGAAATTGTTGTTGTGATAGGTTCAAGAAGTTGTGAAGATGATGGAAATTGAGATGGGAAGTGGATGGATAGCTCATCAACACTGTAAGGTGGATAATCTTCTACTTTACCTAAAAAAACTTACTTGCAGCTTAGATTTAGATTTTGGTACCGTTTAGATTAGCTTTTGAATTATATAAGTGTGCTTGGTAGTCTCAATCACATTAGCTAAAATTGATTATCTAGGTGTATACTTTGATTTTAATATATTAGAATGTGCTTGAGTAGGATTGATTTTAACTTGAAGCTAAATTTTGGAGTTTTTTTTCTTCAAAATTGATTTTTGTTCTTTAATGTATTGTTCAACTTGGCGTTATATGAATATCCCACATGCTTTAGCCATAATCAATTTTGATCAATGCAAGACCAAACACATTTACGTTTCTAGATTAAAACAAGTTTATGATTTTCATTTATGGGAAAATGCTTTTAAAGGCACATATATATTCACAGATATATGAACTAAACATGCCTTTATAATTAAGGGCAATCCTCTCCCTACAACCCGGTTTTGTAGGGATGAGTTAGGTTAAACCATATTGATTAACATTTTTTAATATATGCGTGAATAACATGTTAATTTGTTTTATATAATATTGATTGACACGGTTGTACATATACAGGTTTATTTGTTGGTTTCTCTCCAGAGGATTGTTGGTTGCGTGGTTGCAGAACCAATCAAAGAAGCTTTTAGAGTAGCATCTTCCTCAGATGATGGGCATTCAGCTGGTGCAAGGAAAAGGGAGAAGAAGCTGCGTCCAACCACTCTTCAGTTTGGGAATATTGTTTTTCAAAGGGAAGTTGGAAAAAGCGTGGTTAATGTGAGTGATTCTGAGACGTTGGACAGTAGGGCTTTCTCTTGTGAAAGCAAACCTGTTGCTGCTGTTTGTGGCATTAGAGCCATTTGGGTCACTCCCTCCAACAGAAGAAAACACATTGCTAGCCAATTGCTGGATACTGTGAGGTAAACAAAACTTGGTTTTGCTGTTTCTCTTGGAAAACTAAATCATGCATGATGCAACCATAGGTCCCTGCAATAGTCAACAAAAACAACTAGATTCAACTAGTACACTAGCAATGGAGGACTGTGTTAAGTAACATGACATCTTTTAAGCATTTAATACTAAATATTTTGAATTAGTGTTAATTGGTTTATTATTTGTTCAATATCGGGCTTGTTGATTATTTCTTTTTTTCTGCACTGAATTTCTGGCAGGAAAAGTTTCTGCACGGACCAGCTTGAACGTGCTCAGCTAGCATTTTCTCTACCAACCTCGGTTGGGAAGGCATTAGCCTGTAGTTACTCTGGTACTGGATCATTCTTGGTGTATAAAGCAGTTTAAATAGGGAGTAAAAACAGATGTGGAAATCAATTGAAGAAGTGTAGATTAATATATTCTTTATTTATCTATATTTTTTAAAATAAAGTTTTGTTTCTCTTTTTTAAAAAAACAATTTTTTGTCAATTAATATATTTTTGAGTCAATTTTGCTGACTTGACACTGTTTTGGGGGACAAATTTGATATATATTATATTTTATCAACAATGCTATTTCGACACCAATATTTGACTGAATTACATTAATCACAAATATGGTCATCATTGATTCTTTAAATTAAAAAATATTATTTATATAAAATAATACTTTTAAAATATATATATATATATATATATATATATATATATATATATATATATATATATATATATATATATATATATATATATATATATATATATATATATATATATAAATATTTTGTAACAAGAATACAAGATTGTTTGTGTTATTAACTAATTTTACTATTCCATTTATCATAGAATATTTTTTTTTATAATTAATTAACCATTTTAACTATTTTGTTAACCAATAAAATACATAATATTAAGTATAAACCAATTTTAAACATTAATTTATAAAATGTATTAACCAACATTAAAAACTTTATTATCCAAATTGATTTACAACATAATATTTTAACCTTTTTGTTTTTAATGTCATGATACATATTAATCGAACTATCAATTGAATAAACCAAAATTGTAAATTTCATTAACCAAAATTCTTTTAGAAAGAAAAAAAATATTGAAAAGTCAAAATAAAAAATAAAAAATCAATGTTCATTGTATTTATGAAAACTGAAACATAAGATGAAGTGTTAAGTATTCAAAATAGGATTATTGATATATTTGTCCATATAAACTGTCATATCAGCAAAATCGACATAAAACATAATAAACCAAAACTTAAAAAAACTTGAAATTGAGACACCAAATAAATTGTTTTAAACTAGAGGAACTTAAATAATACCTGATACAAAGTTGACACTACTGCTCTCTGTAGGTTTGAAACTTGGGAAAACACAGATCACAGCAATCAGCATACATAATTATTATTTCTCAACAGTAACAAAATGAATATAGAAAGAAAAAAAATACAAATTTGTGTTCTTCCATCCAATACTTAGATTATGCAAAATTCCTAGTAAACTAAGCTAAATAATCAAGGTAAAATACATTTGCAGGACTGAGGAGTAACTGATTCACTGCTTCACCATCAATCCATGTTTCTTAATTGAATAGTGTGTTTAATGGGACCAAATTTGTCCTTGTAATATACTTATTTGCTAAGTGTTACCTTCAATGTTTCTATGTATCCCTACTAAAAAGACCGTAGCCGGGACTTTTTGTATTCGGACCTCTAGGATTCGGGTGGATATTGTCACGGGAAGGCATCGGACTTCTTGATCCAGGAGGGTGATTTGAATTAGAGGGTGTCCACCTGTTTGTGTCTCTTGTCACTGGATTTGTGTTTGGTGTTGTTTGTTGGGACCTGTTTCTTGGCTCGGCTTTTCTGTACCTATTTTCAGTCACAGCAGGAGGCACCCGTGCATTCAGTTGAACCTTGTTCTCGCCATGATGACTAGCTTTTTTATATCTATTTTCTAGTACGGGTGGAGAAACTGAATCATTTCTGTGGTTGACACTTTTATCTGATCCGTCAGCTGAGAATGGAAATTGCTCGTTACCATGAGAAATCAATGCCTCTTGTGTTTCAAACTGATATTCAGGAGAACTCTGATTCTTATGGTTAATAGAATCACTAGAAGTGGCAGTTAATGGTTCCACATCACACTCCGCGGCTTTCACATCCGATTGTATGGCATCTTGAGATTTTTTCACACCTTTCTTAGCCGGGCCGTATTTCAAATGTCTGACTATCATATAAGCTTCTTTTTTTGTCAAATGTGGTCCACTTTCCACAACACAGACATCTTCTATCTGCGAAGAATTGTAGAATGGAAGGATATAAAGAAATGGGAATGGGAAAAAGTTATGTAAAAAATAGTTCGGATAGAAAATCACAGAATAAAGAAGAAACCATCATACCAGAGCCGAAAGACGGGATATTGAGTCTAACATGGCCTGATCTGCGTTGCCTGTTGCCTTGACCTGTTTGAAGTAGTAAAAAGAGCAACCATGATTCATTGACTAGCAATGCACCAAGTTGTACAATGCGACAGATGAACGTGGCTTATGTTGTTACAAGATAAAGATCTTACAATATCATATACGGAATGTGACACGGTGATGCATAATATGCAATAACAATCTGTGGCAGAGACAGGGAAGGGATATTTGGGGTGGAAAAAGTCCAATGCAGGAAGATAAAAAGGGGGCTTTGATTTCAAATTAAGTCAACTTGGTTGCTTATGATGAACAAAAACTAAAGATGCTTTTAATCAGGGGAAATGCCATATATGGAGAGTGAGAGTACCTTCACCCGATAACCCTTATCCATTAACTTTCAAACCATGTTTGCTTTCATCTTAAGGTCTTTTGATTCCTGAAAACATGAATAGAGGGAAAAAAAACTAATACATCAAAACTTCCTTCTCCAGGTTTGGGAAATAAAATACGGCAACTACTCAAAATACAGAAACTAAAATCAAAGAGATGGTACCATGAATGTTACATTTCTCCCGATACAGAAACTAGACCAGTTGTTAGATTCAAACTGCACTGCTGTATCCCATCTTTAATACAGGCATTAATATTTAATAGCCTTAGGCTAGACATGGATGTGAGTACAGATAAGCTAAACATGCACAATAACTGGTGGCAGCCTATATACTAAGGAGGAAAGCTTCAGCATCCTAAGGTGGTTCTTAGAATAAGACCTTATTCAATCCTAGAGTAAGTTTAATATCTTTAACTCCTTTATTGATCATCACTGCTTCAACACATCTTTAACCCCCCAATATAAGTGTCTGACAAGTGTGTCCAAAAAGTGTCTAAGGTGTGTCAAAGCAAACATATTTTTTTGGGACACTTGCATGAGCAATCGACACTTGTATGAGCAATTGGACACGTGTTGTATGGGTGTTAGACATGGTGAAAGACGGTGAAATGCTTAATCTCAGAGGTGTATGTGCTTCAGAGGGGTGTATAAGCTATGATACCAACTTAAAACTTAGACTGTGGCTAAGTCAACTTTAAAAGCTAGCTCTAAAGGTGAGGATTCCTCACTGTAAATTTACTCAAGCCTTAAAGGATTTGTTAGGCTATATCTCTAGTAAACGTTCAAATTCAACAGTGGTGAAAACTTGCATCGTGGTTTACTTGCAGACTAATCTCACAAAGTTGTTCCCAAACGTACGTAGACTCTAAAATATGGCTAGGAAAGCTTAGCAAAAACACAGCAATTGTAAACCTAATATAAAGAAAACTGATTCCTTTTAGGGAATATGCAAAAATAAGAGGATTTAGAGTTTTTTCAGAAAATCGTACTTCCTTACATTCCTTTCGCATTGTCATCTCAGACTGCATTTGTCAGAAAAAATAATTAAGAACACTGTGTCTAAAGAACAAATATTTCTCTGACAACTCCCAAGACATGCCATGACAGCAGAGTGACTACAGTTAACTAAAATTTAAAACACCCAGAGATAAACTATTAAATACATTTTAACTTTTATCTGTCAAAGAAAATGGAGGATACGAACAATGGAAGACCAAGAACTTTCCAGGCACGTGCAACATTAAAAAAATATAAACAAATTACATGAATTAATGTTTCTTCGTCTGATTTCAATAAATTAAAATAACGAATCAAATGTTTATAATTTTATTTTCAAGAGTCCATACTTAAAATTGAAACATAAGTCATAGAAAATATGGTTAAACCATAATAGATTAAACTTTTTGGTTACTATTCGAATTTGTGGTGTATATCATCTCGGACATTCTTTTCTTGTATTTAAAGAAAATTAAAGTCCTTTTTGTAAATTAAAAATTAGTATTTGATTCACATGACAGTGTATAAAAAAGGTCAATTTTATTTTGAAAATGAAAAAAGATCTTTTAATATACTAGTAGTTAATTTGTTTGCAATGTTATTAATTGAATGATGAGGGGGCAATTTGGTATTTTATATGGGGTCAAAACATATGCATATTAAATTGCTCGTTGATTTTTATTAAAAGAAGTGGGGTCACTTGACCCCAATATTGAAAGGGTAGATCCGTCCCTCTACATGAATGAACTTTACTATCTAAATTAGAAAAGAAAGAATAAATATTGTTTTGAATTTGTGGTTATTTAGGTAGTGGGCTTATAATTGTCTAAGTGACATAGCAGTGGATATTGTGATTGTTTTAGTGGCGGGTAAAGATCTTTGTGTGATTGACTTAGTGGCTTGTAAAGATCTATGTGTAATTGTTTTAGTGGCAGGTAAAGATCTTTGTGTGATTGTCTTAATGGCGCATAAAGATCCTTGTGTGAATGTCTTAGTGGCGACTGATTTTATCTGAATCATATAGTTTAAGAGCATGAGTATTTTGTCTAGGGGTGCTCAAATAAACAGTTATTTAAATTATTCATATCCATATCAAAATTCGGTTATTAAAACCGGTTAAATATTAGTATGGTTTTAACCAAATCCATATTTTGGATATATTGTTAATATGGTTTTAACCAAATTCATATATTGGACATCCATATCCAAAATAATAAACAAATTAGTCAATTTTTTTATAAAAAAAAATGAATTTTTTTTAAAATTTTAAAAACAAAAAAGAAAATGATTTTTTTAAATAAAAAAAAACTGAATTTTTTAAAATAAAAAAAATGAATTTTTTAAAATAAAAAAAATGATTTTTTTAAAATAAAAAAATAATTTAAAAAAAACATTTTAAAATAAAATTAAATCAAAACTAATTATAAAATTGTTTATGGATATAACCGGTTAATAACTGGTTTATAACTATTTTACAAAAATAATAACGGGTGACAATTGGTTTTAATAATCGGTTATAACATATGGATTATTTATGGTTACAGATTGGTTATAGAAATTAACCGTCCATGAACATCCCTAATTTTGCATATAACTCTTTATGATTGTTGTTGTTGTTAATCTTGAGTTAATTACTTTATGTGCATTCTATTATGGTTACACTATTATATTAGTAACGTCGATGAATTTTTCTTCTATTTAAATTCTCTTGGACATTATACGTGTATATATATTTTCTAATTTTTAACTCTCTTTTAGTCTATTTTTTACATGGATTGTGATAAATGAAAACTGACCTCTTACAACAATATTTTAAGTACAAGTGTGGAGTTTTAAGATTGACTGATGTTTGTTTGTCGCGTGATCGTCAGGAAGAAGGAGTTTCAAAATAAAAAGATTTCAGTAGTTTATAAACTGATAACATTATATTTTTAGTTATTTATTTATTTCCTTTCGAATGAATTGAAAATGCGATGATTTTCTGCTTATGATTTTGAGTTGTCATCAAGTTTGATTAGTGTTCAAAACTTTTATTCTTGTTTAAATAAGTAATAATAATAATTTTTGAGTCATGTCTTAGTAGAGTCGTCGGTAGGAATGGCAACGGGGCGGGGGGAGCGGGTTTAACTATACCCGCACCCGCACCCGCCTCCATGTAACAGACCCGCCCTCGCCCCCAAATCCAATCGGGGGTGAAAATTTACCACCCAGACCCGTCTTCAGTAGAAAACGGGTGCACCCGCACCCGCCCCGCCCCCACCCGCAAAAAATTATTATTTTTTAATTATAATAAAAATTAGTAATTTAATTAAAGAATTGATTATTTTAATAAATTAATTATTTATTTAATTAAAATTTTAATTAATAAATGAATATTAACTTGATTAATTTTATTATTTTAATTGCAATAAAAATATTAATAACTTAATTAAAAGTATAATTAATAAATAAATATTAAAATAAATAAAATAAGGAAATCAAAATAAAATATATTATTTGGGGCGGGGCGGGGGCGGGCGGGTCTTAGTGTCTACCCGCACCCGCACCCGTGGTTAAGAACCGGGTTTCACCCGCACCCGCACTCAATTAAATCGGATTTCCCCCGTTAATTTCGGGGCGGGCCCGGGCGGGTGTGGACGGGCCCGGGTTTGTTTGTCATCCCTAGTCGTCGGAGTAGGAGACACTTGTGATATACCAGCAGATATTTATTTGTGACATTTGAGACATTTTGAGTTTGTGTGAAATATAACACAAGAACACCTAAATGTATAGAAGAGCTAGTTCAATATGAACCACTCATTGACTAACATATTAATTCTGAATATATATCTCCAGAAACACACCATATTATCTTGTTTTCGGAGATGCATCTCCGAAACTTTCCCTGAACCATTTCAAAACAAAGCCAATAAAATAACCTTCCGGAGATGTATCTCCGAAACTTTTCCTAAAACATTTCCAAAACAGAACCATATAACAGACACTCACATTAAGATGAAAAATGAACTAAATATGCATAAAGACCAAATATGAAGAAAAAGTGAATATGCAACACTTCATTTATATTGAGATACAAATTTATACAAATATTTGTCTAGTTAAACAAGAACTCAAAATGAATCGAAGCAAGTGTCGTCGGCTAAATCTATAGGTGGTACCCCTTTGAACTTTGTGCATTTGATTCTTTTTCAATGTTGTTCAATCTCTCGAGTTCTTGCATCCTTTCCGTGAAATGATTCGGCCACGTCTCGACTTTTGCGGTTGAATGATTCGTTCACTCCGATGATGTGGGTGGTATACGGCAACGAGGTTTCAAGTAAACTTGAACAAAATGACTTGATTTTGAAAGTCATCAAATACACATGATATGATCATTTGGATTTTGGAGTGATGCGGTGCGCAGTGGGATAAAGGTTTCTAAAAAATTGTAACGTGTCAGGTCAATGCACACCCTATCATATGCACATGCAATTAGGTGACTCATATCCGAGAAACTCATCCATTTTGACTCCGGTGTCGGACCGTTCAAGCAAGGAACAAGAGACTCATAAACCGCATCGAATTTTTCTTTATTTTCGTACAACCGCATGTACAGTTTTTTATGCGTCTTCAACTCTTTGATAGTTGATGTCGTAAAAGCGAATGACTATCTTCTCCTTTACCGAATAAATCTAAAACGGATCAGTAACCGCAATTACCTTTCCCCGCAACACCGACGATCCGCTCGATATATTTGTGCATAAAAACTAGCATTTCATCGATGAATGGAATCTTTAGTGAAAGTGGCGTCAGAGGTGGTTTGCTAATGTAGGCTCCTTTCACAACACTTTTTAGAGATTTTGGAGTCGGTGAGTCGGAAAACATTTTGTCAACGTGTTCAAAATATGAAGGAGATTGTGTAGTTGAGTTGTCATTTGGTGTAGGCTTCATTTTCTTCGGAGCATCTTTTATTTTTATCGGTTGAGAATGTGGTTTCAAAATAGGCAATCTTCTTCAATTTTTCTTTGATGTGTAGTTTCATGATGTCATCGGCCTTCGAAAATCTCTCTTATATCGTTTCTCATTCAGTCAAAATTGAGATATTCGATTTCCCTTCATCCATGCATCCATCATCATCGAACCTAAGTCTCTTTCAATGAGAGAAAACCTCGTTCATTCTTATTGGTTCACTAAGTTTCACCTTTTTAACAAAAGTACAAGCACACAGGAGACCATATGTTTTCACAATAGTGCAACCACACTTTGCGCTATTTGTGAAAAATATAGTTCAAACCCGCTTGAGAAATGTTACCGACCAACTGAGAATATAAAGTGTTGCCTTTAAACCGGTGCTCAAAAACCGTGATGCTCCGACCAAATGTTGTTTGTATCTCACTATGCTAGTTCTGAATCATGTGGTTCACGAAGTCTCATTCTCGACACAAATCCCCTTTTTTATTTTCCAACCAGTTCTTCAAAGTAGAATGGATCGACTCAACTTTGTTAGTAGTTGTATTTCCAAGGTATCTAACATTATCAGGCCACGCGCAAACTATTTTCTCCTTCACCTGATCAAGAATGGTGCTTTCAACATATTTCAACAAAGCAGGATATTTTTTACACACTTCCAGAAATGAATAACAGAATCGGCATATAACTCTTTTGTGAAAGAATTTTGTATACAGTTCCATGCATACATTATTTTTTCCACAATCACACCCGACTTCACAAATTCTCCACCTTCAGACTCTACTGGTTTCGTCCCTACCACAGATTTAACCCGACTTCTCACATTCTTTGTTATGTGATGCTTACAAAGTAATGCATAAAAGAAGAATATTTTTGCAACCGCATTCATCAATGCAGTATCGCAGTCGGTAACAATTGCTTTAGACATCTCACCTTGATCCTTCAAAAGTGACCGACACACCTATAATGCCCAAGTAAAATTGTCCTCTTTTTCACACTCTAGAAATGCAAAACCAACTGAATATGTCTTCTCAGTTGAGGTAACATCAACCTCTCAAATAACAGAAGTCTATACTTGTTGGTCTTATAAGTTGAATCAAATAAGAGCATTGTCGGAAACCTGTTGAACAACTTTATCGAATTAGGATGAGTCCAAAAAATACCTCTAACTGTAACTCCATCATCTGTATCGGGACACGTAATTGTTATCGTCCAACAGTTTCAAGAGTTGTTGCATCTCAGTTCTATTCCCCCTAATCGCCTTGTTAGTGAGGTACCGAATGATATACACTTCTTTGATATTTGTTATATTGTCGGGTTACTTTCGTTTCAATGTTGCAAATATATTTTTTAATTGAATAATATTCAAGATCATGTCACTAATACATTCCTTCTCTTCTAACTTGAACCGACATACACTAGAATGACCGACTAATTTTAAACACAAATCATAGTTATGCAAACCAATCGATGCACTAAGAAATTCTAATCATTTTACTTTTATTGATCATATATCTTCGAAACTTTGATGCTCATGCATACTTTGAATCTTAATGATGATCTTTTGTCGCTTTTTTTTAGTTTTCTTGCATCATTCCTTCCCAAAAACAAAACAAAACTGAAATATAAGTGGAAAAGAAAGGAAAGCGAGATAAAGATAAGAAAAATAATTATTTGCAAATTTATGCAAAATCCAGAGTAACTATGCTCTTTATTCATCACATTATATACCTTTTTCCATTTTCAATGCAAAACTCTTAATGGCTTCAAAAGCCATTGAAAAAACAATTACAATGAATAACTCAAATAACATGATAATGAATAACTCAAATAACATGATAAGAAAATGTAGTCATGCAAGATCTGAACACACAATAAATTTTAAGCAATGTCGTACGAAGGAGCAGGCAAAAACGGGAAAGGTGCACAGGAAGCATATGCTACAGGCGGCCGTGCTCGGTTCCCTTGTCGGCCCTTGATCTTCTGATTACCATTTTTATCATCCGTATCTGAAGATTCCACGGAAGATGAAGATTTCACAAAACCCTCTGCATTGACTTCTAAGAATTGTTGGTTATCCGTGCGACGGTGAATTAGTAGTCCAGCCATAAAAATGGGGAGATAAAGAAGACTGGCATGAAACATTCTTCTAGCTCTTTCCTTAGTACGGTCTCTGTAAAATGAAAACGCTGCGGCACTTATTGCAAGTGTAAGTGCAGTGGACTCGAGGCAAAACCATCCAGAAGTCACACCCCCTGTTGACATGTGGAGAAACGTGAGCCTCGACATTCTCAATGTGGTCAAAACATTCGCTATATGTACATAATCTAATTTATAAGATTTCTTGATGGGTTTTGTCGACTTAAAAATCATATTGAAGCATCTAATTAATCACTCTTGCAGCAGATAATTGAGATAAAAGAATCTCAAGATGAAATATTCATCAAAATGTTTCTAGTAGAAGAAAACATCTACTCACAATCATATGCCAAGAATCCCAAAGGGATTAGATATATGGAGTTCCTCAAAGCCACCACCGCAGTTTTGTGCCCAGACATATCAGCAAGAGAGTACATCTTAAACCTAAAATTGCAGCGTATCAAATGTGTCATTAGGTAAAAGATGGTATAGTTTTGATCATCAGTAAATGCATGAAAATATTTCGGAATTTGTACGTTAACTGCTAATCATAATAATAGTTGCATAAACAAAACTTCATCATTATAAAAAAAAAAAAAAGATATGTGAGCATACCCTCCGGCAGCATAGTCATCACGGCACATATACGCAAGTGCCATAAAATGTGGTATCTGCCAAAAATACAAAGCAGCCGGAAGAATCAAACTATTTAGAGAAATATCACCAGAAGCTGCAGCCCATCTGAAACAACCAACAAAAAAGTGAGGGACAGAAGAAAATATGCATGCATGCCCCCATACAGAGAAGAACGGAGTGGGATTCAACTCATCTAAAGTGAAGTAGGGTAAAGTAAATAAGCACAGCTGTTGAAGAATAACTTAATTGTAGATATATGAGCAGATGCATAGCAATCAAAGATTATATGAGATTATTAGGCGTTGATTTTCACATCAATAATAAATGAGCCAAATCCAATAGAATGTTTGCTCATTTTCAGAAGGTTCAATGTAGAGTTATATCCTTTCAGCATATAGCACATTATAGCCAATCTAAAGTGGAAAACAAAATCTCCAATAAATCTTCAACAATTGTCTAATACATGTAAGTAATAACACTATGTGCAAGAGAAGTTCAATTTACAAGTTAAAATAAAATTCTTCTTAAGCAATGGAAACTCTACCAGAAAATATGAGCATGACAAATATTGAGAATCCTTACCACAAGAAGAATTGCATATGATATATGTTTGACATCAAGCCATCAAAATCAATAAAAATATGTATAATCAATCACAACGAGTATGCAAATTAGAACGTAGGTTTTGGATATGTGCACATAAACAGGACTGCAGTCTGCATGATATAAGATGATATTGACACAAGAACATGACTCCTCATATACAGACTTGGGTTTAAAGTAGCAGTTTAACCCCTTTGCCAGTCTGGCTTTCGGGAGTGTGTTCTCTTCTACAACAAAAAGATGAGATGAAACAAGAGGCTTCCATAACCTACACAATACATTGGGAAAAAAATTTCCATAAAGTTTATCCTTAATAGACCGATGATATTGTATGGGACTGAATGTTGGAGTGTAAAGAACCAACATGAAAATAAACTAAGGTGAGTAGAGATGGGGATTTTGCATTGGATGTGTGATAAGATTAAACAAGATAAGATTAGAAATGATATTATAGGAGAGAATGTTGGGATAACATTTATAGTAGAAAAGATGATGGAAACTAGACTGGGGTGGTTTGGGCACGTAGAGAGAAGACATGTGAATTTTGTAGTTAGGAGGTAGATCAGATGGAAGGTATTTTGTGGTAAGGAGGCTAGATCAGATGGAAGGTAAGTCATACAGCTAGAGGTGGAGGAAGACCTAGAAAAACTATATGGGAAACTATTAAGAAAAATCTTGAAATTATTGAGTTGGATAGAAATATGGTTTTTGATAAAACATTATGTAGTTTGATCCATATAGCCGATTCCACTTAGTGGGAAAAGACTTGGTTGTTGTTGTTTTACATGCATGGAAATAGAAATAGAGTAACAAGAACAAAATAAGGGTAGGAAAATATTTTCAACTTTCGAAAGGGACAGGTTATTATAAGTTTCCAAAAAAACTCCAACTCTATCCACAACAACTTAGGGTGGAACAACTTAAATTCAAAGGGATTTTACATATCACAGGGTTCAAAGATTAAGACAACACACAAATATATCACTGTCTGACATCTGCAACGCATAAGAAACAAAAATAAAATCTGTATACAATTACCCCAAAAGTGGTGGAATAGCACCAACTACAGCACCCACCCATGTATTTACGGGATGAATCTGCTTCAATGGTGTATATACAAATGAATACAGAATCAGGTTGGAAGCAGCAAGCCCAGCAGCTAACATATTAGTCTGGAACAACCTTGCCATAAAGATACAATGTTAGTCCCTCACCTCAAAGAACATAAAGAATTTTGTAAGAAATACTTTTGAGGTTTACAGTTTTAAAAAAAGCATACGAGCAACGTAGAAAGCAAATTCACTACCTGGGTCGCCAGTAGGGCGGTGCCAGCCAAACCAACAGAAGATGCCCAGCCAACTGCATGAGGTATTGTAATGCGTCCCGAGGGTAATGGCCTCTGACTCGTTCTCTTCATTATAGCATCATTTTTTACTTCAAACACCTAATAGACACAGCCATTTAATAGATTTCATTATATTGAAGTGTTGATAAAAAAAAATATGGTTTTGTTTCGGAATTTGGAGGGACGTGAAAAGAAGGACTTTGAGGATAAAGGTATGAGGAAAAGAAAGGGGAGAGGACTAAGGGAGAGTAGCTCCCCACTTTGCAGTTTATTTTCTTTCATTGGACTAAAACCCTACACAGGGGGAACTCAGTGGGGGAGGACTGTTTTTGATTAAATATACAAACCATTTTTTATCTCTATATAATAATACTCTCAAAACAATGAAAATACAACTCTGTAAGTATTCTCATCTCTCCTCCAAAGATACTGCCCAAAACAAGGTAAAGGATTCTCATTCCTTTCCACTCCTCCCCGCACTTTCCCTCCTACTCTTAAACAAGTAGGAAACAAATGCTTTAGAACAAAATGTTCTTGAATGTTGCTAACAATCACATAGCTCGAAAGAGTGGCAAAGAACAACTTTTTGTACCATTTTCTTTCCTCATACAGGCATTTTAAACTCCTCAATTTAGTCTCATTCATTAAATCGTGCTAGAATTAAGTTTATATCAGAACTAATAAATATTTAAAAATAAAAACAAATAAAACACAATGGACAAGTATATAGTAAGTGAAGTCAATATTCTCCTGAAAAACCAACCTGATTTAAAGTGCTAGCAGATGCAGCAACCATCATGGTACCCAAGCAAGTATAAGAAAGTGCGGAGAGATCAACAGCACCGCCACTCCCCAACACAAATCCAGTCCCAGAAGTTGCAACCACGAGCAAGCTACAATCAAATCATAAAGCAGTTAGTTAAAATGCTTTTCACGTTACAAAATAACAAAATGAACTCGGTATTTTAGAATAATAATTACTATGAAAAATATAAATAAATGCAATACAAAATTTTACATACTGTTAGTATTTCCATTTAGTTTTATGTGCTGAGTAGGCAAGTACGCATGCCGTAATAAATTGTTAGAATATTCTCCTTATTGTAAGGGCTCATGCCTATATTACGACGAAGAGTCTAATGAATAAATCAACCATCATTACAAAAATACCATCTTCTCTCTAAAACTCTATTTTTCTCTTCATGTAATTTCTCTCTTTACCGGATTCTATTCTAAATTATTATAATCCTTACTCTTGAGAATTGTGTTTTTTTTAAATCATCCCTAAGATCCAAATTTTCCGTCTCAATTGGTATCATGAGCCTTGACCTGACACTCATAGTTGATGCTACGCAAAATCTCATGGAAATCAGAGAAATGGAGATCAAAGGTTTGGAGCTTTGCATGCTACAAAAATATTATGAATCGCAACAAAAAATGATAACTACTGTTGATCAATTCTTGACAGGCTTAGAAGAAATCAAAGCTCTGCTCATAAAGGAATTATGACTCCCTTCGTGAGAGTTTTCTTTAGTGACCATACTGAGTTCAACACAAGTTGCGCAATGTAAATGGTTTCAAGAAAACTATGGAAATTTCCTAAGATCTCCCACGCAGCACAAATGCACATATCAACAACGGTTGCAAGAGTTCCACCACTAGAGGAACACAAAGACGAAGATCATCAACTATAGCTTGACCACCACACCGCAGCTCCATTCAAGTTTCCACCAAAATCGTCATTCCCCACTGATCCAACTCAGTTTTCTCTGATCCGATGCTGCACGGTGAAGACAATATGGAAAAATCAGAGATATTTTCAGAAGACTCCGACTTTGAATGCACATAATTATATGCTTGGCTTCAAGTTAACCCTATATCCTACCAACATGTAAGCAACTTCTTAATTGGATTGGAAAATACAAAGCACGTGTTTGCAAAATTATTTAAACCCACGCCAATGCAACGTGTTGTTGACCTACCCAAAGCACATGAGACCTTAAATTCCACATAAAGCATATGCAAACCAGTCAAAGAAACACCGACTAGGAAGGATGGATCATCGATTAGAGACGAAATCCCCATCTAACCACTGACTAATTACAGCGCCATGGAACCACCTAATACTGTTACAACGTTATCACTCAATGTTTCTCTGTCGGTTACCACCAAGGGCATTGCAGCAACTCAATTTTCCAATATGCATTCATTTCCAATGTCACTAACCATCCTCTGTATGTTTGATGAAATGCCAACGTGCCAGGTGGTTGTTTGGCATGCCATTGTTAGTAGGTGCACTTACAATAGGTCTGAGGTTGCTTTGATTTGTCCAAAGAATTGAATAGAATGCATGCTGTTCCTAGTAATTTTACCCTATTCAGTATGATGAGTTTGTGCTCTTTGAAATTTTTAATTTTGAAAGGCATACTCATTTTGTACTCTCCAACACATGTCCTCAAGTAGGTTACACTGTCCATCCTTTTATTAGAGAAACTGTTGCTTCTGAACCCAACATGGCTTCTGCTTTGTTGAGGCCTTATTTTCATAACTATTTCGTTCAGGGATGTGATGGTTCAATTATGATTGATAATGGTTCACAATAAGAGCAAAAAGCACTGCAGTGCACATCAAGGGGGTAGAGGGTGTGCAGTGATAGAAAAAGCCAAGGCACAAGTAGAGGCATCTTGTCTAGGTGTGGTTTCTTGTGCAGGCATAGTGGCATTGGCAGCAAATGATGCAATAATCTTAGCAAATGGACCAAGCCTACCAAGCTACAACAGGATGGAGAAATGCATTGCTTTCCAATATTCCTCATCAGCATCTCTCAATTGTCAAGCATGTGATAGGGTTCAACTATTCCACCTACGGAAATAGTTCAAACTCTCAAGACCAAGCACCTCAATTTGAATTTAATAAAATTTATAGCTTGTGAGATTACAAAAAGGAGAACAAAGGGGTAGGGGTTAAGTATGTGTTGTGTTGCACCTTTTACACGTAGATATCAATTGAATTGAAACATACGAGCTTTAAACTATTAGGCTTTGTTTGGGAGTTTGGAGGGGACAAGAAGAGAGGGATTTGAGAAGCGGGAAGGATAGAGGAGAAAGAATTGAAGGATTTTGGTAGAGAGAATTTTGGAGGGTTTACTTTTATTCATAACAAAAAATCCCCCTATTTTGGGGGAATTCAAAATTTGTATTGGATGAGAGTTTTGGAGGATTTTGAAGGGCTTACATAAATTCTTCAAATATATTCTATGTTGCTATAATATTCTGAAAATTCAAAATATGGTAGTGAAAAACATTCATTTTTCATTCTAAATTTCAAAACATGTTAAAGATTTGTCTACTTTTTCTACAAATCTAATTCCTCAAAACCTTCCCTTCCCCTCCACTAAACTCGCAAACAAAGCCTTAGTGGTGGTGGATGGGGAGGAAGAAGAACCTGTATATGATCAAGTAAAAGCACTAGATGGAAATAAATTGGTTGCTAGTTGTGACACAAATAAAATCTTAGATTTGACTTGGTTAAGATAATGCACTTCCAAAAGGCTTTTGATGCCCTCATTTGTCTCCTTCAAGACTCTTGAATGAACTTTCATGTTCATCTTACATACAAAAGGTTTCATCTCTACGCAAAATCATGTCTATATTATGACCAAGAGACTCATGAATGAATCAATCATCATTTACAAAAATAACTTCTCTCTCAAACTCAATTTCTCAAGTAATTTCTCTTTTTTTCCAAGATTCCATCCTAAATTGTAAGAATCCCTACTCTTAATAATTAGGTTTTAACAGAAACAACCCTAAGATCCAAATTTGCAGTCTCAGAACAATAAAAGCATCAAATGAATATCAAATCAATATCAAAAGCAATAAACCAGAGTATTGCACCTAAATAGAACAACAGCTATTGAAAACCTAAGCGATAATAAAAATAATAGTAGTTATTGAGGTGAAACCTGAGACGGGCTTTGGAGAGTTCGGAGTAGCAGTTTCCATAGTGGCGGACGAGGGAGAGTAGATCGGTTGATTTAGAGGCGGCAACAGAAGGTGCGAGATGGAGATTGGGAGACGATGAAGAAGAGAAAGAGGAACGGAGATGAGTAAAGTTGTGAAGAGACGAAGAAGTTGATGAAGAAGATGAAGAATTGACGAGTCTGGAATACAAGGTAGCACAATTCCAATTCCTCCTGAACATGGTGGTGGTTGCGGCGGCGGTGGTGATTATGGGTGGTTCAGTGGTAACCCGCCGATGGAGACAAAAGCAGAAGAACCTATAATTCAATTTTCAACTTATTGACTGACCTTGAGTTGCTCCTTTCAAAGAGTAATAATAACATAATAAACATATTTTTTTGGAATAAAGAGTGAATTTAATTCTTAAACTTATTTTTTTTATTAATTAATTTGTAAATTATTAAAGTTAATCAAACTGTTTTTTTAATTACTATTCTTTGGTTTTTGGAATAAACTCTAAATGATAGAACATATTTTTAAACTACCTGATTTCGATATAATCCGAAAAATAACATTTAGTGAATTTTTTTAAAAAAATTATTTTTTTCTAAAATACATAAATATTGACGTGGAAAACTTTAAAATATTCATGTTACCCACAAAAATAAAATTATGCATGGCATGGAAGCCCAACTATTTGGTGTCAATCAATAGGCTAAATCAATTGGAATATATGTATAGATATTTAGAGAATGCCCGAATTCATATAGCGCAAGTGTTATAGTTTTTTTATAAAATATTATATTTTAATAGATATTATTTAGTATAAACAGAAGTGTGTCTTTAACTATTTTTTCACACTTCTTTTTAATTTCTTCTTAATTTTTTATTCACTTGTTATAACATGAGTGCTAAAAGAAATGTGCATGTTTTTTTTGAGAGTCAAGCTATCGATGAAGATGCGTTTTTGAAACATTCGGAGTTTCGAGCAATTTGAGAAGAACTCAATTTTTTGGTTAGACAGAAAGATTAATGATGGTGAGAGAATTAGAAGTATTAAGATACTTGTTTCGTACATCTCTATTGCGAATGATAATGATGATATCCAACATATGTGGGTGCCACTTAAAGATGACAAATGTTAGGGATATGATATTTGCACCGGATGATATTGTTCTGTACTCTTAGATATGTTGTGGTGTTAAGTCTTTTTATTTGTTGTTTGTGTTGTTGTTTAGACATGTTTATGTTCGTTTTGTTGAAACCAAAAGTCGTTGTCTATATTAAATTGCAAGGTTACAAAAAATTTAACAACATAATAAATTATCATTAATACCTTGTTCCAACATTGGGACAATGTTTATGTGTGTCCGGGATGACCACATATACCATATTTTCTTTCCAATTTGTTAGTCGTATCCATTTCAATTCAAATACGCATGTTGTTAGAGCGACCCTTTTTCTTCCTTTTCATATTTTCGTTGTGCCAAAATCACATTTCTTTGATATGTAGGCCAATATTCATCTTTTGCTACCATAGAGAAGCTATTGTTGTATACACCGAATACGTTTACAACTTTGTAAATGTCTGATAGATACAAGAAAGCATCTTGGCAAACACTTGATCATGCCGCAATAACATGGGAGTAAGACATAAAGAGAGACTTGAAACTTTCTGCAGTCGCACCAACCTCTATGTAGTTCAACCCAATAGTATCCCTTTGGCACCCCCTCATTGTAGTACATTGGATCCTTTACACTAAAATTGTATTTATGAAGGTCAAATATTGTAACCACATGTGTGCTAACTTTGATAGTTTCCCTCTTCATAACTTTCATGCAACTTTCACTAAACAAATTCCCTAATTGTAACACTGAACTCCATTTTTTTTCATTTAATTCCAAACAGTGATCCCAACCTAAAATAGATTGCTCTCACCAATGCGGTTATAGGTAGGTTTCTAACTCTTTTGAAGACATAACTCATTGATTCCACAAAGTTTGTTGTCATGTGGCCCCATTGTCGACCCTCGTCAAACGCCCTAGTCCATTTCTCCATTGGAATATTATCGACCCACCTTAATGCATCCACATTTGAAAATTTAATTTCCTCGCAGTAGTGTCTGAATAATGGTTGATTTAAAGCATACCCTACGTTCATAATTTTTTTTCTGAAGACTCTTGTCTTTGATTTCCCGCATGAAGTTTATTATGGTATGTCTAATGCAGTAGACATGAGTAGAAGGAGGATTTTACCAACCATCATCAGGATTATTGTATGCACTCTCAATAGATGCATGTCTATCTAAAATCAAACAGATTTTAGGTTGTGGAGCAACGTGTGTTATGAGATTATTAAGAAAAAAACTCCAACCACCACCAGTTTCACCTTCAACTAGAGTGATTGCAATGTGAAAGTTATTATTGTTGTCGTCTTGTGCCACTGTAATAAGTAATGTGCCATTGTATTTCTCGTACAACCATATTCCATCAATTTGAATAACAGATTGCATAACACATGATCGTTAGTATAGTTGGCGTAGGAACTTCACCTTCAAAGAAAGTGCCAATTCAATTGGCCATGTGCAAAACATTTGCCTACAAAATTTGACTTCGTTGCAACATGGTTCAGTCAGTCCAATTGGCGCAGACACTTAAAAATGAACGTGAGCGCCAATTGAGATGTCTTGAGATTTTTGCATGAATGCAAAAGTTGATGCATGCATTAACTACGTATAACTACACCTTTACTCCCCAATAACCTGCATTCAATGTAAAATAAATTCCTCACCAACATTTCATCTATCCCTTCAGTATAAATAACACTCGTACTCACTTCATTTTCATCACCATCAAATACTCACATTCTCTCATATTTTCTCACTAGCAAAATGAATCTTTTGAACATGTGATAAATGCATAGAGGAATCATTTACAACATTAGTTCATGTGTAAGTTTTTATTTCGCTACGATTGCAGTTAAATTTTCCTAACCCATTATTTTTGTGAAAAAACTTATTTATCTTTTTATAAGGATCCGTCGAAATTTCATACCCGCGTCCATGAATATATCGTACCCAAAGAGTTTATTCAACGTTATTTAGAGCGTGTCAGTTTTGGTCATGTTATCAAAATCATGTCCTACTATGCTTATGCTAAGTTTGTACTTACTCTACAAGAAAGATGGAGACCCGAAACACACATTATATTTCTTTCAACCATTGAATGTACCGTAACACTAGAAGACATGTACATGTTATTGGGTCTACCTATTGAGGATAAGTCGATTAATGGAAAGACCAACTTAGCTAATTCAATATGCGAGAAACTTTTGAGTTCCAACTTGTTAAATGATAACCCGATCAGTCAAGGTATTTTACTGTTGCGCCTTAGAAATTATTACAAAAATATAAAATTAGATGAAAGTTCTACCGAAAAAAAAAACTAGATGTTCTAGTATTATACTAATTAGTTCTTTGTTATTTTTGGATAATACTGGTTGTAGTATACATATTATGTATTTATCTTTTTTTAAAATATAGATAAAATATGAACATTTAGTTAGGGTTCTGCTTGTTTGTCATATCTCTATAGCTCTTTGTGTAAAAACGCAAAGAAATGCACATCTATATTTTATGGATGCGTCGTTTTACTCCAAGCATGAGGTTGGTCGAGATTGTCGTTCCTAGCACCCGTCAACCACAACAACTTCATATTCCCCTTGCAACAAGTAAGTTTACAACATTATTTCCATTTACTTACTTTAAACTATTAATCCTATCTAATTTATTTTTAAACTTTTTTGTTTAGGTGGTTCTTCCGTGGGATGAATTACAACAGGTGTCTTAGACACTGTATCACTCAATATGGAAATTTCTTGGATCACCTATAACCAAATAATGTATTGTCACTAAACTAATTATTTCAGAATAATTTATTTTTAATATTAACCATTTACTAAACTAATTTATTTTTCCTCTACAATTCATTTGAAGGCCGTAAATGGGTCTTGAACATCAACGTGAAAGGAATAAAGAAGATGAAACCATTTGGATTGCAATAACACCGATCATCATATTCACCAATATGGAGATATACCATAATGACCATGTGAAATTGTAGTTTGGCATGCATCAAAAAATTCCAGATCACCCGAGGTGCCTCAGACAATGACATCAATGTAAAGTCACGAAACAATGGAACTTTGACGATTGGAAAGACTTCGCTAAAGTTCAGTGTTGTCAATAGAGGCACTGCCATTAACAATTCTTTACCAACACTCATGCAAATCGAAATAAACCAACTCATAATTATATATATATATATATATATATATATATATATATATATATATATATATATATATATATATATATATATATATATATATATATATATATATAGGTATAGATCGCTTACAATTGTGTTTTTCTCCAAAGATAGGTATTTATATGACCCACGTCAAACCATTTACACGCAACAACCTTCAACATCTAACCCCACACAAAATTACCAAACCACTTACACACAACATCTTACCTAACAAAATTACCAACACGCAAATACTTAAACCCACAACCAATACATGTCACACACCCAACCAGAAAATCAAGAGCATACTTATCGTACCTCAAAAAATAAGAATGCGACCTCGCGATGTGCAGTCGCACACTCGCAGGATGTACTTAACAGAGCTGCCACTAAACTTTATTTATTTCCAAAAAAAAGAAAGAGAAAATATCGATAAAACCCAAATAACATCAATGATATTGGTCATGCAACCAAATTAGAGTTTGGGAGTCGATTACACAAGGGGAAGGTATTAGTGTAACACCCCGAATTTTAATTGGAATATTTTAATTAATTCATTTAATTGAGAATATTCAATTTTGGTGATTTTTCGTTTATTTGGTGGAGTATTGGAAAAATGTGCATTTTTGGGTATTTATTTGATTAATAGCATATAATATTAATTTATTAGTATTATTATTAATTAAAATGAATATAAGTGAAATAAGGGTAATTTGGGCATTTGAAGGAGTTAGTAAGGGTAATGAGGGAAAAGCCCAATTTGTGAGGCCCAAGACTAAGTTTAACAAAATAGGGTTCTGAAGGGAAATTAGAATTCATTTGTGTTAACCGTGAAAGTTTGGTGGTCAGAGCTCTGAAGGAAAGGTTGGAGGCAAAAGATTCCCAGAGTTAATAGTGAAAGCTTTGAATCGGCTAAGGTATGGGGAGTAT